CCAGAGAGCTGCTGACCTTCCCTACTTCAATGTTTTTCTCCTGCTGTTTCCCCATTCCCCCCTGACTCTTTAGACACCCGTGGGAACAGTGTGTGTGCACCAAGGGAGGGGAGAATAAAAGGAAGGGGAAGGACACATGTGAAAGTAGATGAAGCCAGAGTCCCTGCTTTCTCCCAGAACAACAGATCTCTCTGCATGTGTCTGTGTGTGCGTGACCTTACAGGTATTTAGCGTCTAGATTTCTCCTGTCTCAACTCTGGGGTCCTTCAAAGAAGTCCAAGAGTTGGGGACAGCAGTTGGGACTGAAAAACCCGATACTGATCCCCACTCTCAGCTCAGAAAGGGTGAGGAGGAGGTTGCTGTTAAGGCAGGGGCGTGGTTCAAGCGGTTGGGATGAATTTCGGGTATCCATTCACACTGCTCACGGCAGAGCGCGCTGTCCCCTTACTTATGTCACGTCTTCCCTTCACAGCAGAGAGAGGCTTTTAAGAAGCGCTGGTTCACGCTGGATCACCGCAGGCTCATGTACTTCAAGGACCCTTTGGTGAGGGGGAGATGTGACCTCTGGCAGCTGCAGGCAACAGTGCTGAGGGCAGGGTCAAAGTGCAACCAGAGTCTTTGCTCTGCAGTAAGGGAGGCTTGCAGGTTCCCCAGCTGCTCTGAACGGACTCTTAAGTCTTCCGCTTCCCGTCCCGCTTAGTTCATCCCATGCTTTCTGTGTTTGTTTCACTGCCTGCAGACAATGGTAACAGGGAGGGCAGCGGTGTGAAGGTGGTGATCGGGAGGAGAGTGGCATGGGGGTGACGTGGAGAGACAGGAGCAGCAGTTCCTCTCTCAGACTTCTCAAGATCTACGCTCTTAAATTTTCCTTTCTGCCGCTGCCTTTGAGCATAGCCTTCCTGCTTTTCTGAATTCCCTGTCCACCTTCAAATCCTTTTGCTGCTACATCCCTGGTCTTCACCCGCTCTCCTCCTGTCCTTAGGTGCACTGCTATTATTCCCTGGTTCTTCTGGGATTCCCTAAATCACTCTCGTTCCCTCCTGATGTGCAGGATGCATTTGCTAAGGGTGAGGTATTTGTGGGCAGCAGAGAGAATGGCTATAGCGTCCAGAAGGGATTGCCTTCGGGGACACAGGGCAACTTCTCTTGGCACTATGGCCTCACCATTGTCACCCCTGACCGGGAATACCTCTTCACCTGCGAGACAGAGTCTGACCAGTTGGACTGGATCGCAGCCTTCACTAGCATCATCAACCAGGCCATGACACCACAGGAATATGCAAGTAAGTGCCTGGATGCTGTTTCCTTCCCCTCCTGCCACTCTGGTTCAGGGTATTGCCCTCATGTACCACCTTTTTCCTTCACTACAGTTGAAGCCTACTTCAAGTTTAAATCCTAGGAAGCCATGCAGGAACCTCGCTATGACTCGACTCTACCTGGTCCTGTTGGGTGGGCTGTCAGGAGAGGAGAGGAGAGGAGAGGAGATCGACATCAGAGAAACACAGTGCCCTTGAAGCATTCTTTGAAGCACTTTTTTTCCCTATAGATGGTCCACTTTGTTCTGGGAGCCGAATTAAGCTGTTTCCTTTCAAGTGCAAGATTTTGTGAGTCTGAATCCCCAGTGCAACCTGTCACTGTTAAATTGCTGTGATCTGACTGGATGCTGGCACGCCTTGCCTGTCAATGGGGCCTTGAAAACTTGGCACTTGCTGTCTTGGACATGGGACCTAGCATCAATCCTGCATGAAACTACAGACAGCCACCTACCTTACGCAAGAAAACAGCTGCCTGGCTGGAGCTACACCCCAGTGGGCTGCTGGGCTAGGAGAGACTGTTCCTGGGTTTGCAAGAAATGGCTTCATTTTGCCATTCGAACATTCAAAATGTTCATTTTGCAAGAAATGGCTTCTCTTCTGATGACAGAGATGTGGAACATCTAGATATTTGGTCAGTTGGAGCTGTAGTTGAGAAAGGTCACTTAAAAGATGTAATCTAACAGCCAAATTTGAGGCCTGTTTCCTCCTGCCATATATGAGCTTGAAAGCTTCTTCAGACCACATTTGGGTAGAGACCTTCTTCCGGTTCCTACAGAGAAGATTAAGAGATCCTCTCAAAACCAATGTGTGGGTATGCATGTGTGTATGTGGATAATGTGTGTGTGTGTGTGTGCACATAACAAAAAGTGGTGGGAGGTGGAATGCTGCCACAAAGAAGGCACTGTGAGGGATATTCATGCCATTGAAGTTCAGCTGTCAAATTTGAGTCTCTAGTCAAACCAATGGAGAGAGATTGCGTCCTGCAGAGAGCAGCTTATGGTGTGTCTCATGATACACAGTTCAGACTCTGTTGTCTTTACTGGAGCCTAGGGGTTGATGTCTGAAGATGGTAATACATGGAGCTCTGCTCCCTCATTCTCTGTATGTCAAAGGCCTGGCACTTTCATTCTGCCCTATACATTACATATGTATATCTTGTATATCACACATACATATAATTTTATGCAGTAGTATAACAGGGAAGTCTGTATGTTCATGTCCTTCTAGTAACAGTTAGCCCTAACCACTAAATCAACCCATGATTCATATCTTAAAGATCGTCTCTTAAAGCTCTTCTGGGAGAGCTGTGTTTCACATGCTGGAAGGACCAGCTGAGTTCTTCTGATGACTGTAGTATCTGATGTGTCTGCAGTTTTATGCAGGCAGTGTGAGAGCAGGCATCTCCTGTGTTAAGGGGAGCTAACTGGAATTAATGAGAATTTTAATTAGCTCCTAAAGAAATGAATAAAAAAATCCTATTGTAATTTATTTTAACTTCCTAAATGAGCTGAGCTGCTAACTGCAAAGGCATGAGGTCATTTCTTGAAAAAAAGCACAGATATTCAGAGCAAGGAGCCATGGCTATTCACTGCATTTCCTGGGGCACGTGGACTGTGAATCTTTCCATCAGAGCCAAATGGGCAAAGTCATGGTCCCCCTCTGCTTCTCTGTGGGCCCCTCTCTGTGCTGAGACCACCACAACCAGTTGGGAGCATCAACTTCCTGGATGAGAAGCAGCATCGCTCATCTGCTGCCATGGCACAATGGAGCATTCCACCCAAAAGTATATTTTCACTGCTGTTTTCTGATCTCTCCCAGTTAGGAGCATGACTGTCCTAAAAACTGAAAGCCGTTGCAAAGCTTGTGTTCCAAAACGAAGTGCCTCTCGGTTCTGATAACATGAAAATGGGGCAGCCCATTAAAAAAAAGCTCAAGCCCCACCTAAACAACCTGCACGTTCAGTTCTCCTCTGAGAAGAGGAGTAGAGAGAGTGACCCAGGCGTGCCAAGAGCTGCAGAGATAACCCAGAGGGAGGCCTCCCAAGTTGCCTCCATCAATGCCCTATGTATGTGTACGTGCTATACGCCCACTCCTGTGGCACAGTCATGCTGCAGCTGTTACTGTGGCATGCAGCACATCATTGGTTGGGAAGGTGCTTGGATCCTACTGCAGCGAGGGCAGTACCGATGGGATGCTTCCTTCTCCTGTTTGCTGCTGACTTATCGCTGCTGGAGATAAGTGGAGGCATTTGACTCTGCCACAACAAAGTTAATGCTGACGATGCAAAAGAGCATGGCTGGAGTGGCCTGAAAACCCCTGTGAACTAACAGCAGAGCACATTTAGTAATGGCGCATGTGTCTCTGCTCTGCAAATTCTGTCCCACCGTGCCTATTCCCTGAGACGAATGAGGCTTGGATGTGGGCGAAGAGCGAGCAGAGTAGCATTGGGCGCAGAAGTGTGGGAGCATAGGTGTCATGCAGTGATGCCCCACCAGAAGGCAACGGTGCCTATCTAACAGGCTTCTGCTCCCTGCTCTGAGGTGAGGCAGCAGGTCCTGGGGGTTCGAGGGAAGGAGGGAGAAAGCTTAGAGAAAGAGGATGGTCTTTGGGGAGAGGGAGTGGGTCTAAAATATCCAGCCCTTTGAGTCTCTAGGAGCTTGTTGCTGCCTGGGGGACAAGGGTGGAACAGAGCCAGGTCATAGAAAATGTGAGATGTCCTACTGTCTGGTGGGCTTGCTTGCAAACTGGGGGCTACATCCATTGTTTACACCTCAAGGGGTCCTGATGTCCTTGGAAGGGAGTGGGGGACATGCCCTCTTAGCCAGGCTTGGCTAGAGGCCAAGGAGAGCAGTGTGGCAACTCACTGCCTATTGCACTTTCAGGGCTGGCCCTTGCTTCCCTTCTAAAGCCACAGTGCGCTGGTTTTCCCCCCTGCCACATTAGGGAGTCTTGGCTTTCAGCTATATCCTCTTTCAAATGAGGAAAACTGTGCAAGGGGAAATGAGAAAAAGAAAGGGAAAAAAGAAGAAGAAGGAAGAGGCAGCTGGAGGAAGGCACTGGGGAAGAAGGAACACGTCTGTAAGAAAGAGGAGGAAGCCAGCACGGCTCCTCAGCTAGTGGCTAAGAGCCCAGTATAAACTGGGACTGTGTTTGCACTGGTGTGTGAAGCTGTGAGTCAGACACATTCCTCTGTGCAGTGGGGAAGGCGACTCTCCAGGGGCTGGTTTGGGGGGGGGGTAGAGCCCACCTCTCCAGTGTTTCTCTGAGCTGAGAGGACACAGACCTGGGAGAAGGAGAAATCCACTTGGCCACTGAGTCTGCTGGTTTCTGTGGGCCCAGCAAACGCTGGAGAACCAACAAGCAAGGAGCTGGTGAAGACCAGAGACGTTTCCTCCTGGCTGGCAGAGGTTATTTTGCACCTATCGGTCTTGAAGGGGAGGGAGGTGTCCCCTTCTCAGCCCTTTGGTGGCTAGGAAAACTACCGGACAGAGCTTGTGATGGACAAGATCAGCAAAATGGACTGGGTGGCTGGAGGTGAGAAATAGACTTCTCTGGAGTACCCTATGTCTGATGAACTCTCGCCATTCTTCCCTCTCGTGTTAAGGCTAGACGCGTCCCATACAGCGTGGGGGGAAGGCAGAGGTCTCTGACAGCCTGACTTGCTCTTGCTTGCCCTACCCAAAGATGTCTTGTGTTCCTTCCCCCATCAGCGCAAGACCTGGAGAGGATCCCGAGGGTGGCAGCTTCCCGGAGGAAAGCAGTGGCGAGGGTGACGGCAGTAGTGTCCTGGGAGGGGACAGCCCGGTCACGGGGCCGCTGGGTGCAGTGCTGCTGGTCATGTGCCTCACTGGGATGGTGGGGAACATCTACACAGTGGTGGTGGCCTCTGGCAGGGTGGCGGGCCGCTCAGCGGGCTCCTTGGGGGTCTATGTGATCAACCTCGCCCTGGCTGACCTCCTGTACCTCTCCACCATCCCCTTTGTGGTCTGCACCTACTTCGCCCATGACTGGTTCTTTGGGGATGTGGGCTGCAGGCTTTTGCTCAGCCTGGACCTCCTCACCATGCATGCCAGCATCTTCCTCCTGACTGCCATGAGCCTGGAGAGGTACTGGGCGGTGGCCAGGCCACTGCGAGCCAGGCGGGCCGGCAACGCTTACCGCAAGCTGGCCAGTGCTGTCCTCTGGCTCCTCTCACTCCTGCTTACGGCCCCCATGATGGCGATGACCCAGCTGCGGGAGGGAGGCGGCCCCCACAAGCGCATCTGCATCCCCACCTGGACACCGGTGGCCTTCCGGCTCTACCTGACGGTGCTTTTCGCCACCAGCGTCCTGGCGCCCGGCATGGTGCTGGGCGTTGTCTACGCCCGCCTGGCCCGGGCATACCGGTCCTCCGCCTGGGGCCCAGGGCTGCCGGCAGCTGGCCGGGCCCCTGCCCGGCGGCTCTTTTCCAGGATCTCCACCATTGTGGTGGCCTACTGGGCCTGCTTCCTCCCCTTCTGGGCCTGGCAGCTGGCCGGGCTGTACCGAGGCGAGGGGCTGGGCATCGGCCCCACTGCCCAGGCCTACCTCAACTTTGGTGTCACCTGCCTGGCCTATGGCAACAGCTGTGTCAACCCCTTCTTCTACACCCTGCTTGCTGGCAGCTACCGCCGGCGCCCCAGCTGCAGCGGGATGGGGACGGCACAGCCCCCGGCACCCTCCCGGGAGGCTGCAGGGGGCCCAGTGGGAGGCCACGGCATCCCCCCGGCTTTCAGGGAGTTGTCGGGTTCTGTGGGGGAAAATGAGGGGTGAGCAGCACCCCAGGATGGGAACATCTCCCAGCCTTTGGCTGGGGTCGAGTTAAGAAATAAAAGTGCATCACCTTCCGTGTTGGCGTGCAGTGTCTTCCATCGTTGTTGCTGCGGTGCCTTCCCCTTCACACCTTCCCCTTTGCAAGGCCACTCACCCTCCTCAGCAGGGAGGGGAGGACGCTTGTCTCGGGGATCCTGCCTCCATCCTAGGTCCTTCAGCCCCCGCACGCCAGCTTCCATCTTGCGCAAGGCCAGGGGGTGGGTGGAAGGGAGCAATCAACCTCGATACATCTAAATTATACCACCGAGGAGCCCTTGCCACCCCTCACCTCCTCGCTAGCAACGGGCCGAGCCATAACAAAGTCAGGACAACAGTGAGTCACAGACTTCACAGGACTAGTGAGTCACTTCAAGAAGCAGCCAAGCTAGCAGGAGACCTAAGCTTCATCCTCTTGTGGTGAAGCTCACATTCAGCTTTCTTCCCCAACCCTCCACAAAAAAAAATCTTTGAAGAGTCTTTCTAAATAAAGACTCCCAAGTGCAGTTAAGAGACATTGTGAAATTGCTCTGAAGTACAGCTCAGAGAGGTCAGCACATCTGCTCAGCTTTCAAGATCAGCCCAGCAGTGGAAGCTGCAAGGAGAGAGCTCCACTATATGTCCATCATCACAGCTCATGGAGGGGGCCCTCACCAGCACCGTGCCCCTGCTGTGGTTGAGGAAATCCCCAGTTCTCCAGCCTACCAAATGTACCCCAGTCTGCCAGACTGTGTCAACACCACTGCATAAACTGGGCCAGGTCCCTTGTCTTGAGGCCATCTAGCCTAGCGTGGCTCACTTTCATACAGCTAAACTCTCTTCTCATCCCCAGAAAGGATGGCCTGATCCATATCACGCCATGGGAAGAGTACCCAAGATACGCTGTCTTCCAGTCATGCCTATGTACAGAGTGGCAATGTTAGATGTTGTGTTTACTATTACAGATGTAACCCTAAAGAGCAGGATGTGATCATCCAGAGCAGACTGGCTTTGGGCAACACGGGGCTTCAAGAGAGACCCAGCTGCAGAGCCTCAAGTTGCTTGTACACCCTAAGTGTTCCTGCCTCCCAGCTCAAAAGCCCATCTGGAGCCCTTGTCTCCAACTCATTTCTCTTCCTCCTCAGCCCCCCGGCTCCCAGCAGCCAAGCCTCCCTCTTCATGGGTACCTGTGGCACAGGACCTGGCAGAGCCTCATGAATTATGGAGCAAGAACAGGAGGTGCTGCTGCTGCAGGAGCAAGTTCCTATGCTCCAGCTGCTCTGCAACTGCTTAATGGGAGGAATCAGCCCAGCCAGGCCTGCAGGGAGTCCTTGTAGGACATCAATTTGTTTGTACTTTGTGTTGCTTATGGCCAAGCCTGGAAGCAAGGACCCAAATATTGGGTCCTTCCATCCCAGGCCTACCTGGTAACTGCTGTGCACTGTGAAAATGCAGCTCCCACCTTTCCTATGCCCACCAGGCACAGCCTGCCCAACAGCAGTAGTCATTGCTGCTGAAGTAGCATTAGACTGGCAGAGCCCCTGAGGCAGCTGCTGGCTGACACCTTGGGTAACAACCCACAGCCCAGTGAGAACTATGCTGTAACATCAAACATGACTCATCATCTTCAGTCTCCTCAGAGGCTAGCCTCAGATTAGACTGAAAAGTGCTCAGGCTCATTTGGGCTGAGTCAAGGGCTAACAAAAGCATAGTGGATACATCCTTACCATCTCACACCCCAGCTGGGCACTGCTACCTCTCCCAGCTCTGGATGCACCAGGCAAGGCACATGGGGCAGAATAAAACCAGAGCCCTCCAGGTTACTGCCCTCCTGTGCTGCATAAGCTATGGCCCAACAGTATTCATGCTTCTGCAGTTATTAAAAGAAAGGATTTGGATGAGGAGCCCACTGCATGCTCCACCACACCCAGCAAGGCAACTGGTGGGTTGTTTCTACTGCTGCCCCCATGCAGCAGCAAGAGGTCCCAATAAAACATAGGAGAGCTGTATCATGAGTGGGACCAGCCTCTACAGAGGGGTGCAAGCCAAAGCTAGCACAACTGAGAACTTTCTCCTCACTCCATGTCCCACTAGGTTTACCTAGCACAGCAACTCAAGGCTGTCTGAGGCCAGCCAGGGATACTTTGCTTAGGGAGAGAGTGATTTCATCAACCCACTTTACTCAGGCAGGGTAAGGTGTCAATCTAGACCTCAAGAGTGGGTGACTTTGCCTAAGGGACCCTTCCCCTCTAGTCACATCTAGCCCCAGTGTTGCCCCTTGAGACTCTCCTTGGGCTTTTCACCTTCTGCCTTCCCAGGTTTCACCCCTCACCCTCCTCTCCATCCGTAACTTTAAGGGCCAAGGCTGGCACAATGCCACCCACATACAGTACTCCAGCAAAGTTGGCTACCCTCCTCCCCCCACCCCCCCAGCAAGGTGACCAACCCACGTGGGCTTGCAGCATGAAACAGATTAGACTGAGACTGGGTAGACCAAAACTCTTATTTATTGATCACTTTCTGTATCTTCGAGATGGAGGCATCAGAGGAAGTTATTCCCAGCTGAGGGACTGGAGCGTGAAGTCCCCTTGTGTATCAAAGTAGTCAAAGACAGTCAGCCCAAGCCGGTTAGGGAATGTGAACTGGTGGCCTGGCAGCTGGACTGTCACATCATTTTGGTTGACACCAAAAGTGATCTGCAAGACAAATGGAAAAGTCAAAGAGTTTCTACCAAGATACCCTCAAGCCTTTCCCCTCCACTGCATTGCTGTGCTACCCCTTGCTTTGCAGGGTGAACACGCTCAGCAGCATAACCTGCTCTTCAACAGCAGAGTGTTATTCTGGTCTCCCAAAAGATGCCTATTCCCTGCTCAGTTCAATAGTAACATCCCTTTGAGCTAGCTGGAGTTTGCACATTTGATCCCCACCCTCCATCACTGCTCCATTCAGAGCCCTGAATGGTGGCACTGGCCAAGCAGGAGAAGCCAGCCACCTCCTGTACAGTTAGTCCTGAGACAGCCCTTGCAGTTGGATGCCCTGTGCCAAACACCCTCCCTTCACTGGGGCAGGTGCAGAGTGCATCCCAGGCCTCACCTCTGCTATGGCCCCCTTCTGGAAAGGGAAAACAGTCTCCCTGTGCTCTGCACCCCACTCTTCCACCTTCTTTGAGTTGCACACGATGGTGTTCACATCACCATGAGCATCAAAACGGGGGTTGAAGTGAAGCCCGAGGTGGGAAGCATCCTTCCCCAGATTCATCACAAAGCTGCAGAGAAAGACATCAATACTGTTTTAATCAATACTATGGTAGCATGTTGCTTATTACCATGAACATCTGTGTCTTCAAGCCCAGCTGAGGGTAACCAAAGAGAAACCTTTTGCTAAACCACACAGCTTCCCTAAAAAGATGGTGCTGTGTCAGTAAGGGGTACTCTCCTCTACTGGGGTGACAGGCCCCACAGTGCCATCCCTGGGAGAGAAACTGCTTAGTTTCCACAAAGTTTTTAACAAGAGAAAGGTTCAGCACTTAGCCCTGAACAGGGAGTTATTCTGCACCCAAGCCAGCTCCCAAGGAGTCAGTCGCTTTTCACAGATTTCCTTTCAGCCCCAAACAGTTAGCTGGTGCTGCACCCTGCCTGACAGCCACTGCCTTCTCCCCACCCTGCAGGCAGCTGAGATAATTACCATGTCATTAGCTATCCCAAAGCATCTGCAATGGCAGTGGGAGGAAGCAGCTTCTAGTCCAGTGTCCACCTTGCCTCCAGGCCTTTTACCCAGATGAGAAGAGAGGAGGCATATTATTTGGCAAGAGAAAGCCCAGGAGCCTTCACTCCAACACTATCAATCTTCAAAGGCACTGGGAAGAGCTGGGACATGTTTCCTGGAACACTGCTAGTGCTGGTACAGCAGCTACAGGCTCCACCTTACCCACCAAGAGGCCCCACCAGCCACAGACCTGCACAAGGGCTGGGGATCTCTGCAGAGGCTTCCTTGGCAGCCCCAGCCACCCTGATCCCTGCAGAGTTAGAAGCACATTTCTACTAACTCCCACCCACCCAATCACCACCTTCCCCCCTAGCACCTGACAGACATCTCCACTGAGTGAAAGCAAACTTCCAACAGCCTGAGACCCCCTGCTGCAACATGCAGCCTTTCCATTTGCACCATTAGCTGGAGCTGTGGCTTAGAGCATCCAAGACTTCCCAGCTGCTCAGGCTATAAACTCCTCCTGCCCAGTGAAGCAAGGCACTGTAATGGTGTCCCTGCTCCTAGGCCATCTTTGCACAGGGGAGGGGATGTAGCTGTGGGGATGGTCTCAACCCAAATCTCAGTATAGACATGACTTCCATTTCCTTTACCCTGCACTAGAAAGGACATGGTCACTGCCAGTGCATGCAGCTGGAGTTCACATCTGCTTCGGCTTAGCCCCTTGGCAGTAGCATGTGTCTGCAATGTGCATTAGGCAATGACTCACTGGTAAGCACTGCTGGTGTTAACCCCCTCCAAAGCTGCTCCTCTCCCACTTAAGGGAGGGATTCCTTCTGTCCCCCACCAGCAGAAGACAACTCAGCATGGTGCCTTGGCCATGCCTGGGCAGCACAGCACAACTTACCTCTTGGCACTTGGTGCAACTTTCCCCTTGACAGTGAGGCGCTGGCCAGGCTTGAGACCCAAGTTGGTGCACACTGGTCCCTGGGGAACGCGGAGGCAGAGATTTTAGCTCAGTACCTGCTGGCTCACTTGCTCTGACTTGGCAGCTCTCCCTGCTACCTTGCAAGACAGTGCATTGCTTTGGACTGCTGGAGAGACAGGGAAGCTCCCTTCCCCTAGGGCATTGCACCAGGGACATCCCAGAGAAGTTACTCCAGTCACATAGGACATGTGCCCAATTTCCCAACCTTTCTCCTGCTGCTCTCATCAACATATATATTTCACAGCAGTACCTGCAAGCTCCCATCACACCCACCCTGTCCCAAACACACCCA